CGGAAGATCACTGGTAACCAGTGCAGCTCGCGCAGGAGCGGTGTTACATGGGAGCGACGAGTCCCTCCCAACACCGCCCGCGCGGCCGCATTCTGGACCAGTTGAAGTCTCCGGGTGCTCCTCAAAGGGAGCCCCATGTAGAGGGCATTGCAGTAGTCCAGGCGGGAGGTGACGAGAGCTTGAGTGACCATGCGCAGAGTGACCGTGCGCAGATTCTGGCACCAACCTCAGGGTTTCTTCAAATCAGCAAGAAAATAAGTCAGTTGCCATGACACAACTTCCAGACAACTCTGTCTGGATGACAGAATCTTCATCGACATATTGTCACACACTTTGGGGAAGAAATTCTGTGTTAGTGCAGGAATTCTCCCGAAGAATTTTAGGAGTTGGCACATTCCAACGGTTCTCTGCCTACTCAGATTCTCCTAACCAACTTGTTCAGACTGAAGAAACTGCTGGGATGGGCAACAAAACGTCTCAAACCATCAGGAAAATAAGTCCAGTTGCCGTGACTCAATTTCTAGACCCCTGATTTTAGCATTTAATGTTTCCAAAGGTTTTAAAACAACACATTTCACAGTTGAAACAGTTTCTCATTGAAAAAGGTTCCTAGCTATATTTGAAACAGTTGGAAAATGCACACTCCCCATGCTTATAATTACCTAGATCCCAGCATGCATAAACAGTGTGAGAAAAATGTCTTGCTTCAGTGACTTGGAACCTTTGGTCATGGAATTAGTAGGAGCCAAAAGACATTTGACTGCTATTTAATGCTGTCCTTTGCTGATGGACGAAATCCACCAATACACATCTTTAATTCATGACCACCCAACCTTTGCTTAAAATCTTCTAATAAAGAATACTCCACTACCTTCTAGAATAAACTATTTTATGGATTGATGTAGACAAATTCTCCTGATGTTTCTTGTTGTTTTGCTTCTGGCAAAGGTTCAGACTACATTAGCTCATGGAGAGGATGGACTGGCTGAAGTTAGAGGGCATTTCCAAAAGGAAATCCTCTGGAAAAGAAAAAGCAAGACATGGGTATAAGGAAGGCTACCTTCTGCATATATGCTATACTCAGGCTATACACAGAACCATTCAGTTATAAAGAGTTCAGCTCTGTCATACATTGAACCAAAGATCATTGTTTCAGAGAGCTCAGTACTATATACTCTTGTCTAGGAGTAGCATCCTCGACTCAAGCCAATAATTAGATTGTAAGTTGTTAAGTGGGTCATCATGTGACTAATCTTATTTTACAATATTTTTAGCAGCTGTTGTTAAGTGAATCACCATGGTCATCAAGCAAACCCATTGTCTGCAATGGGTGGGGTTTTTTTTTTTACCAGAAACCAAAAGTAAACACCGGTTTCCAACAAAAAATACTGCAAATTGTGGTCATATGACCACAGGATGCTGCAAGCAGCTGTAAAATGCAAGCTGGTTGTTGAGTGCTCAAAATGCAATTACGTCATGGGGTGGTGGTTTCAGAACTTTTAATTCAGGTCATAAGTACTTTTGGGGGGTCTGTCATAACTTTGGTTGCTAAGTAACTGGTCGTAAGTCGAGGACCTCCTGTCTTAACTAATGATTGATGCTAATTGATTTAAACCTGAGTACTTCCTCATGCACCAGATGATTTTTATCATGGAACTACCTCCCTACAGTGGTATGGCTAACTTTCTCAAGCCCAAATCAAGCATGGTTCAATGAATTTTGTAGGTAACAGGCACTTTCTTTAGCAGTTGGCACCAGTAAGCTCACCTGGGCTGATCTTAAATTGCTAAACAGAGTTGGACCTGATTAGTATTTTGCTAGAACACCAGGAAATCCTAATTATTAGTCTAGACGGGGAAGTCAAAAGATATTCCAGGAGAAGGCACACTTGTATACTGTTTTCATCTAGTCATTAGGAGATAATCCTATCTAGTGTATTCCATTTGGCCATGTTTCCATGGAAAAACAGAGACGGAGAATTGAAATGTTAATACTTTATTGCAACTGTTAACACGTTCGATCCATAGCTAGAAAAATTGCAGGATTTTTATGGAACTACATCGGTATGTGCCTGCAAGTCTACGAGTTCCTTTTCTGCACGAAAACACAAGCAGGCTTGACCTTCGAAAAAAAACATGGTTGTGTTATATGCAAATCAGTAAATGTAAGTGCTCAGAGAGGTTCTTTCTTGTTGGGGCTTTTTTCTCTTTTTCCTTAGAAGCCTTGCAGGACCTCAAGGGACTTGGCAGTTGTGAATTGTTCTTTGCATTGTATTTACTTTCTGCCTATTGATCTGCTGCTCTCTGAGATGGAATGAGGAAATAAATTGGCATCGCTTGTATTAATTTTACTCAGTGACATTGCCACAAAGTTACAAGAAGATTCATGGAAGCAATTTTTAAAATTAATTTAGGTTGCCATTGATCATGAGGCCTAAAGAGGGAGAAAAATAACCTTCCATGTGTGATTAAGTCAATTAACTTCATTAGAACATACAGTCAAAACCTGTCTTGGCTTGAGAATTTGACTGAAATTTATGCTACATCTCTCCCCCTCCACACTCCATTTTTATTTTCATGCAGACCACCTGAGGAAAGGACTCAATAAGCTAATCCAGTAAGGTTCAAATCCTTGTTCAGTGGCGATGCTTGGTGTATAGATTTAAATGAATTAATCTCTTTCACCCTGGTCTACTTATTTTGGAGAAACATATCCTTCTCCCCCGTATTCATTGTCATGGCCCCCTGGGTTGCAAACTAGAATAATGGGCAATGGTGGACCAGAACAGAAATAGAAAACCAGGTTACTGTATCCATAGTTGTCATTCTGTGAAAAAATGGTGTCAAGGCAATTTAGACTCAAGGCAAGTTAGACTCAAAAAAAAAGACCTGCCCAGGTTCCTTGAATCATAGCAGGAGAAAAGAAATAGGAGGAATTCATTTCTTTTTCTCTAAGAAGTGAGGACATTTTTTTCTACATTGGTAAAAAGCAATCTAGAAGGAATTATTCATCCACCTCACTCTGCTAAGAAGACAAATGAGTGCATGATGCTCCCGAGAGTTCTGTTCTGTTCTATTCTTTTCTTTCTTTTAAACTATTTCTGCCCTGGCTAGAGAATTAACAGGCATTACTTGTGCTCCATATTGGTATTTCAGAAAGTTTATTTGATAACTGATACCCTTGCTAGGAGAGCTCACTTTTCAAATTTTTAAAAGAATCTAGAGCCACAGATGCCACTATGGGTTGTGTGCAATTCAGGTGACATATTTGGAAGTCATTAGCCATGTCCAGAAGTTGTTTCCAATGTCCAGATTCTGTGGTTACCAGAAGAGTAAGAACTGATTCTTTCCCACGTTCAATAGAAAATGAAACTGCATCAGAATTTGAAATGCTTTATTTATTCACCATATAACCTAGTGTGGTGTTGGATCATCATTTCAGAGATATTTCCTTACCTAAAAGGAAAAACAGAATGACCGGGGGGGGGGGGGTAAAAGTGGGAGCTTTGGAAACCTTTCCTGCTTGCTTGCTTGCTGGTAAGTGGCTGCTGTTGGGTGGGGGAAGGGAAAAGGAATTGCAGGATTGGCTAGGAAACTGTCACGGAATATTGAGAATAAAGGTCATGTGACTGCAGCAGCCGCCAGTAGTAATAAAGCAGCAGTCATAGCTTCTCCAAATTTCATTTCCTTGGAGGACACGGGTCTTAGATTTTGGACACATTCTGTTAGTTAGCTCATTTGACATATCTTGGTTGAAAAATTGTTGCCCTATGAACATTGTTTCATCTAGTTAAAGGTCATAACAAAAAGTTTTAGTAATGTATAGATTCAGTCAGTCAGTCAATTTGTATGGCCCCCATCTCAGCAAGTGTCTTGCTGAGATGGAGGCTTAGAATTTTAAAATAAATCAACATACAATCTTAAAATAAATAACAAATCCATCGTTCATCATGTTTCCTTGCAACCATCCATCCCTAAATAAAAGAGGAAGAATGGATCATTATGAGGTCCATGTATAGATAGCTACAGAATAATATGCTATTAAGATAATCGCTTTGATAAACTCACTCTAGGAACTTGTCAGGTCAGTCATATTCTCAGAGGTAGATGTCATGACAATAGCCGGAGTCTAGGATCCAGACACAATTCACTGCACTGGTAGCTTTCCTCAGAACTAGCAAGAGGAAGCCTGTGTAACTTCCTTGTTCAATTCCAGTGACCCCAAATACCAAACTTGGCTTGGAGCACATATTGTAAAAACAGGATAATCCTAGGCACCTGGTGCTGAAAGAATATCTGTAGCATTAATATTTGATGAAACTTGAAACTATACATAGTTTTCCTTAACTTATTTATGTGAAGCCGCTGGGGGAGATCATCCGTGGCTTTGGGGTGGATTTCCATCAGTACGCTGATGATACTCAGTTGTACATATCCACCCCGGGCCACCCCAATGATGCCCTTGACGTGATGACCCGATGTCTGGAGGCCGTGAGGGTCTGGATGGGGAGAAACAGACTCAGGCTCAACCCTTCCAAGACCGAGTGG